ATTCCATATAGCCTTGATAAGATTTCTAGCACATTTATTTGTCTAAACCAAAGTATTTTAAGAGAAATATACTAAAATCATTGAATATAAAATGAAACTATAAACTAATTTGAATTTTTTAATTTAATATAAATATGATTCCCTAATAATATAATTTTTTTTAGAATTTGATGTTTTATCTTTACTTAGATTTTAGTAGTTTTTATTACTCGGGATTATTTTTTTATTTATGTGGTTAGATTTTGTAATTATAATAATAGTGTCTCTTTGCCAACATTAATGTTTAATAGTATCTAATAAGAAAGGTGACTTGAAAAAATAAAATTATAGCTCTATTTTCAGTTGGTAATTTTTTTATAGGCTATTTTAAACTCGTAATTGATGCCCAAATTTAATAGATTTTCATGGTTGATCAGATTATCGGTTTTATCGGTTTGATCAAAGCCAATCTAGATATCTTAGTCACATTCCACATTATGACTACTTACATATATGTTAGTAGTTTGTCCAAAAAAACATATATATTAGTAGTTTATCGCTAAATGACTACTACCGAATTAAACATTACATTATGTAAACATCAATTACATAAAATTTCGGTTACTATGATCACTCTTCTATCAAAATAGAAGTAACACATGCCAATTACTGGTTTTATTGGTTTTGACTGAATTTAAAAGCACACACCAAAATAATAATGTATAAGTTATAACTACCTTTTCATTTATTGTTGATGTATTAGACTTCTTTTTCTTAGTAGATATATGAGATCCCACCGTATTTCCATTGTTACGATTTTCAAGTTTTGTGCATCGAGTTAAAACCGGTGTAAGCCTACGAGGACTTCTTTAAAGACTCTAGATCATGTGAGAGTTTTGAGATTTCATCATCTTTCTTAGTAGAATTCGTCTCCATTTCAGCCATCTTAGCCTTTAATCTTGAGATAGTCTCATCCTTCTCTTGGTTAGACACTTCCGAAATGGTAATCATATGGTTCTTAGCATTTGAAAAGATCCTTGGAATCCTACCATTTGGCCTTGTCTTTCTCTTATCTTATATTCACCATTACGATTACGTAGTTCTTGGAACATAAAAGATCAAGCGTTTGAGCCGGCGTAAGATCACTTTCATTAAAAACATAAACCACAAATATATAGTTATTTATCATTTTTTTGCTATGATGATGTATATACTCTAGATACAAAATAGATCACTAATAATAACCAATTAATCATTAACATTTGTGCATTTTCCACCAAAATTTACAAACAATTAAAAAGAACAATCTTAGAGAGATGAAAGCATTACAAACCGATCCTACATTTCGACCTCAGAAACATCATAATCTGAAAATCAAGAGGATGTTTTCTACTCCAAAATCGAAAGAACGAAAGAGCAATTGTTACAAACGTCAACAATGTGTCTTGCTTAAATCAGAACAATGTAGAGAACAAATCATTAAACCCAATTGAAAACACCTCATCAACAAAACCAACTGATGCAATGTATTCCCAAGTAACTCAATGCATTCATTAGAGATTGAGTATAAGAGACAAATCAAATCAATCCTTCTCTCTGATCCGTAAAGAAATGTTCTCTTTTGCTATGCCTTCTTTATTATCACATGACGTCGTGTTTATTTTTTCACTTTCCATTTTTTTTCCTTTCACCCAACTATTAATCCCCTGAGACACTTACTTTCCCTCGTATCACCAAAGGTGATCTTTATTTTTTAGTTAAATTGTTACTTTATCGGTTGTCATATAGCTGATTTAAGAATTGTGGCTAGGAAGAAAAAATAACGATAATGATTCCATATCTAATATGTAAAACCCAATTGAGTATATTCTTTTGGTAATAAAATTGAACTCCAATCTGAACCAAAAGACAAGCTATGGTGGTAGCAGCGAGCAATAACAAATCTCAAATGATTTCCCCTTGCTATATCATTTTAAGAATCTTTAGTGTCACGTGCGTTTCCATAAAAAACAGAGTTTCAAATTTCAGTTACGTTTACCCAGTCCTCATACATTATCTTTAGCAACACGATCAAGATCAAAATCCATGTTACCAAACTCGACATGGTGCAACTGCAAACAGCGAATCACCCACTGAACTATCACAAAAGAGAACAAGAAAAACACTAACGTTGAAATCCCTAACTTCTCAAATGTGTCATAGGCCTGACGTTTCCCTCAACCATTTAGCAACTGGTATACCTCTCCCAACACTTGTGTAAGAGCTTATCTTTTCAATTTTCAAAACTCAAATCCAAAAATATTCACCAAAGGAAAAAGTCGATCACGAATCCAATATAAACCTTAATTATACAACGATCCTAATGTCAGCACAGTTCATTTCATGGACATGTCATGAGCACCTTATGTTAATTCTTATTAATCGAAGTTTGTTAAGCGAAATGTACTAAAATCATTGAATACAAACTGAAATGTACTAAACTCATTATTATACAATCGAGATTCCTAGTTTCATGACACCTAAATCTGGTCAAGAGACTTGTTAAGTGTAAATCAACAAATGGTTTCTCTTGAGCTTTAAGATCTAACTTCTGTAATTGTATAACAGTGCAGCCACACAGTTGCTCCGCTTTGAGATTTGGTTGATGGTGGTTGTGATGTTGAAGATGATGGATCTCATCGTTATCTATTACACTCCGAGGTTCTTTGACGGATGGATTTAGTTAGCCTCTTCCATGAGCGTCCAATATCAAGAGGAAATTCTAGAGATCTGATTCATCTCACAGACTAATTCACGAACCTATCACCAAAACGCAGCTCTCATTGATGATTCCGGCGAAAACAACAAACTTCCGACATAAACGCAGCTGTCGTTGATGTCTCCGTAAACGTAGATCTCGTTGATGTTACGTGGCGTGATAAGAAGATGTTAAAAAAAAAGAAAAAAGAAGAGTCGTTTTTTAAGAGAAAAGAAATGACATGGAACCGAGAAAATTTATTATTCGTTGAGGAATCTGAGTTGTATTAACGAAATGTTTTTATTGGACGACTTTTTTAATGAGGTGTCGACCTGAGAACATCCCAAAATGCTGAGGTGTCAGATCTGGAGAGATCCTTAGTGTTATTATTGTATTGACTAGGGTAAGAACCCGCGCTCCGCCGCGGGAAAGTTTTTATAAATTATTTTTATTACTAATAACTTTTGCTTAAATTAAGATTATGCATTACCATATTCACAATAAAATTTATAGTTTTGGTTTACACAGTGAAAATTGACTTGCTTCTTTTGTAACACAAACAAAAAAATATCGAAACTTGAATTTAAACAATAAACAAATATGAAGTTAAAAATAAGCCGAAATACTATCAACTCAAAAATATAAATTCGAATAACACTCAAATATAAAAATGCTTTACACATCATCACAACATGAATATGCGTTGAACCGAAAAATAAAACTACTATCCATTTGATTATTTTTAACGCACTTGAATATTACCATTATTTGATTTTTTTTTCCACTTCTTAATATCAAATTACAAAAGACAAACCCATCTAATCCACAACAACAATCTTTTAAACTCAGAACTGTAAGCAAACCTTACCCATTTTATATAGGAAAAAGGATATTTGTAATTAAAGATACGTAATCGAAGATGCTGCATCATTTCTTAATGCGTTGTCAAGGTTAATTTTTTTATCTGGACTCCTCAAGCCATGACAAATATCCAGCGATCAAGAACTCACATACACAAACCCAGAAACATTGCTGCATCATAAAAAAAAACATAGAGAAAGAAAGAAACATAAATAAAGATGCGAGGACCAAAAGAAACAAGCTTTGGATTTTGGAAACAACAAGAACTTTTAGAGATTACCTTGAGACAATCTGGTATGGTTCTTTTGTGTATGAGACAGCGAGAACAGAATGCAGCAGATCCCAATTCGGAGGACTTGCAAATCACAAAAACTCGAAGTATTGGCATGCAGAGAGAGTTCTTCGATAGACCGTGAAAATATTTCTGGAAAATTTAAGATTTTAAGTTATGAATTTCATTTCCAAAGGCATAAAAATTGGATAATAAAATATATGGATTGACTATATTTACCTGAATCCTAAAAGTCTTTGAACTTTGACAATATTTGTCCCTCGCTACAACTCCACCAGACTTGTGAAGAAACAAGCATCGTAATTAAAGAAGAAAGCAATTTATTTCGAAACATAAGAAATGTAAAAAATTAACCTTGACAACGCATTAAGAAAGGATGCATTTTGAATCTTGCCAGCATCAGTATGCTATGGAAATGGCATTTAGACCGTTTACAGAAAATGAATTTGCAAGAAATACAAATACCCGTTTAGAGATGAAGTTAGCAGAAGGAGATAGCAAACCTGGTGCTCTCTACTAAAATTAGAAAGAGACTCTTTTCTTTCGTTTTTTGGTGATCCAATCGCCTTGAATGTCATTGTTTGAGAAGCATCGGCGTGTGAATTAGAATTCTCATCTCTAACTCTACCTGAATAATTTTTCTGGTACTGTAAGGTTAGAAAATATAAATGAAACTCAAACATAACACGAACAATTATATCAAAAAAGGGAATTGAAGAGTTTTGGGGGTTGTGTTAACGTACCTCTGGGTTTAATTTAGGAGATGAATCAGACCTTGAGGAATTCCTCTTCAGATTGGACGCTCGGGAAGAAAAAAAAACAGAGAAGTTTAATGGATACCCAATTCTTTACAAACCCCAATATGTCAATAGCTGCCAAGTCTTCCACAATCAAGCTCGAGACTTGAAAATTGTTGATTCGGAAACAAAAATGGCCTAACAGTTTCCATTGACAATGACACATTCTTAAATCCAAAAACTACAACAACAAGATCAAATCAGACAAAAATTTTGTACAACTTCAGTCTGAAATCGAAATCCAAATCAAACCCTTGAGAAATGTGGAGACTTACGAAGATGTGGAAGTTGTGAGTGAAGATGAGGATGATGATTTAAGTACACGGTTAAGGGTAAGGCTTCTTGGATTGTATTGTGCGGTGGAGGCTGAATTTGAAACCGATTATGGATTGGCAGGTTGTGAATATACCCCCTCTATCTCGCAGCGGCACAAAAATGCTTTGAATCCACGAATTCAGGAACGATGTCGTACAAGTGGTTGGAGATCGTGGCCCAAACACCTTTTGGTGCCATGGCAACGTTCTCGTAGTAGAAGAAGGGCGGGCCACAAGCAATATCCGGAACTGGGACTGCTCTGTTCATCATAAGTCCAGGTCTATTAGGGACACCAAACCCAATCATCTCCTTCGGTAGATAGATGAGCTGGTCATTGGCTATGGCAGTGTTTGGCTTTCTCTCTCTTCTCGGTGGCTCATTGTATGTTCGCCTCTTTTTGCTGTTATTCATAGGCTGCACAGAAATATAGCCATATCTGATAGCTTTGTCTTTAGGTTTCCCAATCGATTAATTGATTGAAGAGGAGATTGGAGCTGAAGCTGTGAGAAAATTGGACTGCAAAGAGAATTGGGCTGGAAAGATTAAAGGGTGGAAAAATGGTTTTAAGTTTTTTTGTCAACTAAGTGGGTTATTAATTGGGCTTTTACTTTAAATGGACCTAATCTAAAAAAATAGTGAGGTGGAAAAATAGAGTGATATAATTGGAAGATAAACATGAGCTGTATTATTTAGAATGTTTTCATTGGTCTTTAATTTTAACTGAGGTGTCAGCTTTAGAAAGCTTAAAAAATCTGATGTGTCAAGCCCTGGAGAGTTTCAAGGGGTTTTATTGTATTGATTATATCTAAGACCCGCAGATACGTGCCGGATTTTATTTATGTTCGTATTTTTATATATATTATTTGGGGTTTGGCATTGATATCCGTTATCCGTATTCGATTTGTTACCCGATCTATACCCGTCTCAAAAAGAGATATTTGTGACTTTAGAATTGGGTAAAAGGTATTGTAATTTTATTATTGTGGGTAAGGATCGAGTATCGATGATGATGACAAAAAAAAAAAAAGATCGAGTATCGAATATTACTATTTTTTTAATTCCCGTTACCCAACATGTTACCCGCTTCACTATCCGACCAATAAATACCCGCTTTATTACTGTTTTATAATATTACTAAAATTTTATAAATATATCTTATACTCCCTCTGTTTTAAATTAGTTGTCGTTTAAAGCTTTTTTTTTACGTTTATTAAGAAAACATTTAATTTTTCTGTTTTATTCCTAATTAATATAATGGTTTATGTGATAATATCAATTAATAAGCTAAGAGAGTAGGGATAAAATTGGAAAATCTGTCAAAAATATGCACTGAAAACCTAAAACGATAACTAATTTAAAACGAAATTTAACTTCTAAACGACAACTAATTTAAAACGGAGGGAGTAGTAAAATTAGTTAGTTTGTAATTTTATATTTTTGGAAATCTATGTTGTATATGTTTATAAATTCTTCTTTTTTTGTAAATTGATAATTCTATTTTGAATATGAAATTAGTATGCAGTTACAGAATTTTTTACACTTGTATTATCAATAAATATGCATAGAGTTTTTTACACATGTATTATCAATAAATATGCGGGTAAGGTAATATCTAGCGGGTCAACTATTTTTATCGGATGCCCATTTTTCGGGTACCCGTTATTTGCGGGTCGAGTAAGAGTAAATTTTTTTTAACACACGTATGAGTTGGGTCGAGTAAAGGGTATCTTAAAATTGAAGGATACTCGGCCCGTCCCATACCCACCCCTAATAGTATTCATGTCATTTTGGGTTTTGTTTTTGTTTATATTTGATTTCAATTTGGATACAAGATTGGAACTAATCCAAACTTATGATCACTTGATGATAAAAAGATTTCCAAGCTTGTCACGCGGAAGGTGGAATTCACGAGCTGGCTCTAAAGCACTCTCTTGTGAATCAAGGGGTGATTCAATGGATAGTAGGGTGATTAATTAACACACTCAATCGGTGGGATAATCGACTCACTTGATCCATGAACGAATGAAGGATGTTGAATCCATCAACAAACTTAATCCACAGGTTTATGAAGTAATAAAGTACTAAGTGACTCACTCACAAAGAACTAAAGAACAAAACGACAAAGACTCAACTTTGATAAGAAGAAAACGTTTCTATTACTTTAATATGATCAAGAGTGCTTTACAATGAACGAAATAATGAGCTTGCATAGGCTCATCTACAATATTCTAATTCTCTAAAAGAAGAAACAAATCACAATATTTAATGAAAATATGGCCGTTGGACCATTAGAATCGGTCCAAGTAAGGCAAGTGAGGTGTGCCTTGTATCTTTTAAACTTAGGGAGGAAGTTGTGATGTCTTGAACGCTTTTGGAGGTTCTCAAGAGTCTCACACAAGCGCACAAACAAAGAAGGAAAGAGCCGTTGCAAGTTGATATCCTTTGGCTCCATATATGGCAAGTAGTAACTCCGCGGGTTCTTGTGTGGTAAGGTGTACCGAAGTTCGTGTGGTACATATCTTATGTCGTCTAGATGTTCTCCTGGTTTCCATATGTAGCTTTGAGGTTCGTCCAAGTGTAGAATAAGGAAGATTTCCTTGTTTGGCTTCAGTTGGCCTGGTACATCAGCAAGTAGTTCAGCGAGTAGATCAACGAGTAGTGCAGCAGGTAGTTCAGCGAGTAGTTCAGCCTGTCCGTCAGCAAGTACATCAACTATATGTACTTGTAACATCTTCATATCAATTGTTTGGTAAATGATTCCTTGATGACTTCATGTTGACTTGTTAAAAATATTTCTAGGTAAACCCATTAGGACAAACCCTAGATAAGAAAAAAAGAGTGCAATAGTCAAATTCTCACAATATGGTGATTTGGCTCGCTGGTCTTTGATTCCTCTTGAACCATAATTAGCCTTCTTAGGGTTAATTTACAATTTGAGAAACACATCTACAACATTTCCTGTAATACTTTTTTTTTTGCGTCGTCTTCCTAAAATCGAGTTCTTCCTTGACCGACATCAACAAAATACATAAAGGATTAATATGCATTTTAAAATAATTTAAATCCAAACTTGCTATGTTTAAATTCATGGTTGATTTGATTAAAATTCAACATATATATTATTTACTTAAAACTATAATATAATCTACAAAATTTGTAAAAAAAAAAACATGTAATAATTAACCAATGTCCTTACTAATATTATTTTTCTAAAAATTTTTAGCGTTAAATAAAATATATTGATAGTGAATTAAATTTGTTTATCCTCTATTTACTAAACTAAATACATAGTCAAATATACGTCATAACATGTCATTTTTGGTAAATTTTGTTTACATCATGATACTTTTCGTTATGTTTTCATTCATCCATTCATTTTTTTCTTTTATTTTTAAATTCCTTTTAGAAAGATATTGATTCTTTTTGGTATTCTATCAAACTTTTAAGTGCGTTAAAATCTGTAAAATATAAAAGTATGAATGTAATCAACTTCTAGGCTTCTTGCAATAACATAGATGTATAAAGTAACTTATAAATCCCTAAATCTACATCATAATTGATTCCTCATTTTCAAGCTTAAACCCCAAATTCAATACGTACTCACACATATATATTAAAAACATTTGTGCGTCAGATATTGTTTTAAAAAAATCATATTGGAAAAATCATATAGAATCATATATATTTGTTTTTCTCTTTGGCAACAAATGTGTGTGAAAGTGAAAATTATACGAGAGAATCTATATATATTTATTTATATTGATGTTAGTTATAACTAATAGAAATTTTAATTAAAGAAAAACGAATTAAATATAATAAATCAAATTTTAAAATAGTGAAAGTAATACTATGGCATTTATATCAATAATAATAATATAATTCAACTTTTAACATAAACAAAATTTAAAATGATCATACTTCATATTTTTTGAATAAGTTAATGAGTTTTAGAATGGAAGTCATATTTAAATGCATGGTAGAGTAAAATTTTTATACGTAATTGTGTTTCTACAATTTTAAAGAGAAAAATAAAATTTAAATTGAAATATTAATTTATAAGAGCAATATACTACAAGATTTTCTTTATTATTAAATGTTCACTAAAAAAAATTACTAAACTGAACTTAAAATTTTTCATTTAAGACAAAGACATTAAAAGAGTCACACTTTTTTGTGAAACTACAGAAACAAATTGATGACAAAAAAATTATAGAAACAAATCATGAAAATTCAAAAACGTTATAATCTATCTTCTATAAAAATAATAATAATAATGGTTATATTATCCATGAATTGTATAACAAAATATACTTAAAGTGATATGTAAGTTGTTAACTAAAAAAAGTGATATGTAAATTATGTAACATATATCCCAAGTGGAACTACAATTCTATAACATAATCAAATAGAAAAACACATTTGAGAGTTTCTCATTTAAATCCAATGTTTTTTAACTCAAAAATTTGGTAAAAAACATATTTAAAGTATATTATGTTTTCATTTGACAAGACGATGTTAAGTTTGCATCACAAGATTAATAACTCAAAATAAGAACAACACTAAGCCAAATAGTGGTTTGAAATCACAAAAAACAGTAGGCTAGAGAGTGGTCTGAAATCTTAATGACTCTATCACGGATGAAGATCAATAACCTTATTTAAGTGTTAGATGTGTAAGTGTTATGAAAAAAAAAAACTAATATTTTCATAGAAACTTTTTTAAGTGTATTTATACATTAGATTATGCAATTAAAAAAGAAAAAACAAATTGTCTAAAAAATATCAAATATACATTTTTTACAGATATTAGTCAAATTTTTAACGTTTAGAGTTATCTTCTTCAACTGTTATAATTATAAAAATTTGACTACTATAAAAATATAATATATTACTAAACCCACGCTCATTTTCTAGTTACTTAAATGCAAAACACACATAAGATTGAAGTTTGCTTTATAGCTCACTTTTTTTTTTTTTTGGGCAAACATATTCAATAATCTCTTTAATTTAAGTAAATGTTAATTTGCTAAAGTTTTTAACAATAGATGAAAAACAAAACAAACTAGAGGAGTTCGAGTTGTCGGGATATATGGTGTTAGCAAAAAGGCAATTGGCTAAGCCACCAATTTTTTTTTTTGATATTTAGGCCACAAATTTTATTCTTTTAATGACTATTAGGCCACATTATTTTGTTAAGATAATCATCCCGCCCAATGTATTTGGGAGCTTTAAGGTGCATGTTGGAAGTAAAGCCTCATAAACAGGATTTGATATTTGTACACATTTTGCTCCAGAGATGATCCAAGGTAAAACTCGTAGAACAATTTTACTTTGACCATAACATAAGCCGTTGTCTAAACCATGTGTTGTAATTCTCACAATCTCTCTATCTCTTGTTTGGTTTTTAGTTTTTTTTTTTTGTTTTAGAAACACAAACAAGAAACGATTTATTTTTTAATCTTCTACATTGATTAACTTGGATAATCCTTATTTCTCACACAACACACTTATACTACTTTCACCACTAAGACACTAATGATGACTTCTACTACTTAGACTCTTACACAAGACAAGTAGTCACCCTACACATACTGGAACTCTCATTCCTTGATTCATTCTTTTAGACTCTATGTTGATATCTGCCTTAAGTACTCACTGAATATGACAAGTCAGGCCTAGGAGACAAAGATCTCAGGGCTTAGGCCTTCAAAGTGGGAAGGAAATTACTGCAAGACGTTGTTAATTTATGACATCATTGTAAGATTCTACGGGAAGCGGCTAACCTTCTACAATGAAGTGACAGAGACCATGATGATTAGTTGTAGTTTAAGGTTTTTACACACATATTAAGAAATCATAAAAATCTCATTTTTTTTTCCTTCGAATAGCTTTATTAAAAACCAATATCAGAGTTTACAACATTTGCTAAAAACAGAGGACATGAATGGAACATCATAAAAATCTCATTTAATCTCCCTCTTTTATACTATAAAAACATCATTAATCATAACCAATTCAACTAATACAAAAAAATATATGATTAAATATAATTGGTTAAAAAGTATTAAATATATTTATTATTTGCATAGAAAGTTGAAAACAACACTTATTTTGGAAAAAAATAAAAATCTTTAAACTATATTTATATAGAAACAAAAGAAGTAATTAATTAAAATATCATGTAGAAAATGAGTCAGTTGTCACTTGTTTTGGATATTCTATGCTCAACAAGCTGAAATTACGGGAACACCCTTCTCAATCCAATTTGATTTTTGACGTCACTTTCTCCGTCCAACTTAAATATTTTATTTCGCTAACTAATTCACTAATTTGTACTTTTTTAGCGTTATTAAAATACTTGCCAACTGCTTGAAACATTGGTGTCTACAAATTCCAGAAAACAATGGAGACGACATTATTTTAACTCAAATCATGTCATAAAAGAGGGTGATGATGATGAGGAACGATTACAAAACAAGGTTCTTCATTTGTAAAGCTGCTTGAATCTTCGACATGCCTCTAAGATGTTCTCTCTGTGACCAAAGGCGCTGACACGGACGAACCCTTCACCACCTGGTCCAAACCCACTTCCTGGAGTTGTAACCACATGAGTCTTCTCCAGAATCTCAGCAAACACATCCCATGAGCTTTGGTTCGGGAAGTGAACCCATACGTAAGGCGCATTCTTTCCTCCATATACATCATACCCGAGAGATGTGAATGTGTCAATGATTATGTTTGTGTTTTCTTTATAGAATCCAATCACCTTGTGCATTGCCTGCAATGTTTAAAAGGACGACAAAAGAAATCATTTTGCACATATGAACTAGTCATATATAATTAGAGAGTCTTCACTTCTCTTAAGATGTCCACTTAAGCAACCACCTAAGTAACACTGTTTGTTTTTTTGCATCAAAGTATATCCAAAATATTTATTGTGCATATTTCTGTTACTTAGAGTTAATAAAAATTTAAACTAAATAAAAAAAATTTATGTAAAATAAATGAAATTTAAAATATTAAAAAATACATAATTTTTTATCTGCAATAATAATATTATTCCACTTTTTTAACAGGAAAAAAATGTTCATATTTTAAACTTTTGAATGTTTTAATGAGTTTTAGAATGAAGTAAAATTTGAAGTGAAACATTAATTTCTAAGAACAATATATTACAAAGTTATTTTTTTATTACTACAATTCATTTAAAAATTAAAAGAATTACTAAACTCACCAATTTTAATTTAAAATATACATTGTAAGGTCACACTTTTTGGTAAAATTATTAAAAAAAAATCTGAAAATTTAAAAATATGATAATCTATTTTCTAACAAAAAGAATAATCAATAGTTATATTATTCATGAGTTGTACAACAAATTAAACAAAAAATAATATGCAATTTGTATAATATATCTCAAGTGAAACTACAATTTTATAATTTAATTTTTTTAAATTCAATCATTTGAATTAAATGCTTTTAACACAAAAAATCGGCAGAAACAACATATTTAAAGTACACTAATAAGTTCATTTTTTAGAAGACGAAGTTGATGTTATATCTAAAAAATTAACATCTTAAGATAACAAAAAACGATATGTAAAGAGTAATCTGAAGTCACGAAGACGATATTATAGATGAAAATGAAATCACATTGTTTAGTGTTGGATGTGTAAGTGTTGTGAAAAGAAAAAACTATTATTTTCATGTATAAACTTTTTAATTGCAGTTAGACATTAAACTATGCAATTGAGTTCCTTTACGGAAAGTAAATACATTTTTGACAATAACATGCATAATGAAATTTTATATGTAGATAGTTGTGACACATCCACAACACTATCATAAACTCTTAGATTATGATTGTAATAAAAAAATAGTAAACACTTAAAAGTTTGAAACCAAAATAATAATTAAAACATACTGATTTATTTTATGGGGGTCGGAATATTTTTTAAATCTAAAGAAAATTTAGAATGTATTTGATTTTTTTTATTTGTGTGTTTTGTAAGATAATAAATAATATTATATTATTTAATATTATTTTAGACCTTAAATTGGCGATTGGTTTGTGTGTTTTGTAAGAACTTAAATAATAATATTTGTATTTGAATATACGTTTAAGGGTTTTATTGTATATTATTTTGGACTTCGTAGGATTAGTCCGTATTTTTTAGAGAATGAGGGTAAAGTTGCAAAATTATCGAGTTGGAAGTTTTTTTTTGTACAAAACCCTTTTATTTAAGAAAACTTATGAGTCTAAAGTTCTAATGGGAAACTAAATTTAAAGTATTTGGACTACTTTTTGGTTATATGTTTCAACGTTAATTTTTTTGTTAGGGTCATAGGTACCGGTCATTACAACTATTATTAATAAAATATGTAAACAACATTCAATGACTATTTTGAGCTCTAACTAAAAGTTGTTGACAATTTTTTTTAATATTATTAATGACATATAAGAGCACCTTCATTGAAGATATTTCACATGAATCTCTTAACAAATATATTTTAATAAATAAAAATATTTAATTATTCGAGTCTCTTAAAAGTGAGAAAACCACTCAAAAGTATCGTACTTGTAAATGGTTCTAGAAAGATATTGATTATAACGAAGAATCCCTTTTCCGGTAAAATATTTTTAAAAGTTTACAAAATTAACCAAAATCTCTCCATATATTAAGAGTTATTAATTTATCGATAAATTAATAACTCTATAAATTAATAGAATTTCGCGATCACACTATTATTAATTTATAGAGGTTTTACTGTACTTGTAATATAATCGTGGTACACATATATTCTTGTATGCATGAAATGCAGAAAACACAAATATTCTTTTAATGTGTTAAGTTGTCTAGTCACCAGTAAAAATAGACTCAAACACATAATTAGATAAAATTATTGTGTAAATATTTTTTTTTTAGAATTTCTCAAGAAACTTTAGCATTTGGTGGCTGGGTTAGATTAAGATTTGAGTGGAATGTGATTGTTTGTTCTATGATTGTATCTTTCTTAAATTTCAAACGCTCATCTCTTTCCAGTAAACTTAGTTTGAAATTTACTCAGAAATCTTTCGGGAGAAGGAAAAACTTATGGATGATCTCGAATCACAAGGAGCCATGTTTGGCATGTGGAAGATTTACCAAAGACTTTTTGGAGGTCGAGTTAGGTACTCCAAAAATTGCCATTCAATGGCTTCAACATGGCTGGCGATTCTACTGATCACGATGAGATAGTATGTGAGGCAACTGATAGAGTTATGGACCAATTTCTAATCGAGCCTTTAACGATTTTCCAGTCCAATTCTGGTCAAAAGATTCTCTAATCTCGCTTAATGATGACAACAAAAACAAACCTACATGTGTTGCATACTCACCAACAAACAACAAAAAGCTCTACATATCTTTACTCTAGTACCATGCATTCATGAACATAACAAACTATTAAATGAGTTATCAATGAGGACCATATAAGTGTTCCAAGTCCTGGAAATCCAACAAATATAATAAAGAACGATAACTATGTTTCTCTTTTCTCCTCTTGTTTTTTAGGAATCAATATTAGTTTTGGTGATTTGATTGTGTTGAAATGATTGATTTCTTCATAGTGCTAGATTATAAAATACTTCTGAATCAATCAAATATGAACTAAATTTTGGAATTTAACTTTTGTACAGAAACTACTCTTTTTTTTTTTGTTTTTTTTTCTTCCCAGAAACTACTCTTTCACTTATCGCCCCTTCTTATATCATCGATCCAACCTCTTTTCTTTGTGCTATTATCTCTAAGTACAGGGAGTCTTTTTTTTTGCTTATTTTTTTATTTTTTTTAAATTTGTTATTTTAAATTCAACTCCTGATTAGATTTGCGAGTTTAGTTAGGGCCATATATAGAAGATGAGATTTTTTTTCTTTTATTATAGCCGTTGAATTAATACTGTATAAGAATTATAAAGAAAAGATTTGAAAGGATCTCATAATGATGGATTAATTTCAAATATGGCGATGACGTAAAAGAAATAATAGAATTTAAAGTATCGGTTCTGAATTTGGTTTGGTTTAATCGAAGACTGGTTTGGTTAAACTGTAGATTGGTTTGGTTAAATTGTAAGTGTTGGTTTAGTTAAATTGATGACACTCTAAAAACGGTCATAAATAAATCGTGGACGTGAAACGTGATTTAAATCCAGAAAAGTATCATTAGAGATCTTTCGAGTTTCGACCGTTTGGTCTCCTAAAACCCAGAAATCACCACCGACTTAAGAGAAATCGAAGACTCTCTCTTCGACGCAACGGTCCGATTTCGTTTGTTGAAATTCAAAACAAGGCTTTTCTGGTTTTCGTGTGTTCTCTCTCGAACGATCAATTTAGAAGATCGTCGATGAAGCAAAAGACGGAGGAGGACGAAGAGGATCTCGAAACGCCCCAAATCGTGAAGGAATTGAAGCCTAACATGTTCGTAAGTTACTTCATGTTCATAAAATTTCAAACTTAGGATATTTTTCGGGAGATAGTTACTCTTTATATCGGGTTATTTCTTTGTTAGTTGTCTCTGATTGATCACTGGTACAATCGTTTGATATCTATTTGGAAGTGATTATCTCATATCAATTCTCAGTTTTCCTCTTCTTAATAATTGATTTTGACGAAAACCTGATCAGAGGCACTTTAGATAATTGATTTTGTTTTATGTTGATCTATTATGCTCCTATCATGGCTTGGGATTCTGAGTTTTCTTATTGCAGGTTTGTGACATGTGAAAAATTTGATGGATGATTTGCAGATGGATAAAACTAATGGTTGCTTGCAAGGGAGTGATCCCAATCCATATATGATATGGGCTCTACATATCTTTACCCTCTTAATTTGGCTCATCCTTGTTTTCTTTAGTACACAGTTTAGAAGAACTTTTTAGATGATTGATTTTGCTTTAAGTATGTTATAACACCTTTTATGTATGTATGTTCAGCTATCAAATAACTTTATTGAGTGTAGAAAGAAAGTCATTTCTTTATCTGAGGTCTATCGAGAGGTGTATTTATGTCTGTTGATTTCCTCTACTTTTCTGTGTCGCATTTGTTTAGCCAAACTTTTCTGTAATTTCTTTTTTTCTGTTTTACAGGTCTATCGAGAGGATCTGCTTGAGATTTTGTTCATTTCTTACCTGATTGTTCAGAATAAGGTTCTGTTAATTCAAAAGCTCTCTGTTATATACAAGTTTGGGGTTTTGGAATCCATCTTTTCTGAAACTTACATGGAACTTGGTTTAGATATGTTAACTGGCTATAGTCGTTTTTGAATTTTTTCAATGTGCCTTTTAAATCAATCGCAATCTTTAAGTTGTTGGTCTCTTATTGCAGGAAACCTCGATTGTTTATTCTGTTAAATAACGCAGTGTAATAGCTGTTTGTGTTGCTTGGCTAAGACAGTGGCAGTGGCACCATTTCTGTTAAACTACAATGGAGCATGTTTTCGACAATATCCTAGTAAATTCTAAACTACTATTCTTCTGAGACTAAATTATGCTATGAAGGTCTTGCGTTAGACTAGTATAAGTGTAGATAGAAAATCACGTCCATTTCTGAAGTCTATCAAGAGGTGTATGTATAGCCAAATTTATCTGTGATTTTTTTTCTTCTGATTATCATCTCTTCTACATGTTACTTTGTTGTTCCAGGACCATGAAGATCTGCTTGAGAGTTAGTTCATTTCTTGCCTCATTGCTTGATAGAAGTTGTTGGCCATACGTTTTAACACCCAATACAAGACTACTTAGACACGCCCTTGAATTGGCCGGTGGAGTTCTTGAGGCTACCGAGAGAGATAATAGAGCTATCGCACGTGTGTAAGGTCTCTGTGACCCACATAAGTCACTTGTTCTTAGAGGTAGAAGTTTTGTAGACTTAAGTACCTCAGAGAATCTTTTGCACAAAATTGCAACTATGGACACAATCTGGCCTTGATCTCCAGGTATATTTACATTGCAGACTTAAGTTCATTATGTTTTATGATCATTGTATACTTTCAAAATTTTTGGTTTGCAGTTTTTCGCAGATTTCACTCAAACTTCTCGAATCAAGTAACTATATAACCAGACATCAAGCTATTAAGGTAGGGTAACAGTCTGGAAATTTTATAATGCTAAGATCTCATTTCTAAGGACATGGGATCCATCCCTTGAGGGAAAGTTTATTCCCCTGAATTTCGCCAAAAGATCTATCTTGCCTTTATGTATTTCTTTATAGTAGATACATCGACTTTTTAATACTCATTTGCTCTTCTAGATTTAACTCATATGGAATTTACGAACACCTTGACTCAGTTGATAGGATCATGGGAATGGCTTTCAAAGCATTATAAAATCTCTCAAGGAAGCCGAAGCTCTGGTTGGACTTTACCGAGACGTCGAGACGAGGTAATGATTTCCACATCAATCTTTTTAACATGTATCTTTTTTTTTCACTCGAGACCAGTTTTAATAGTAATAAGGAGCAATAAAATTGACAGCATTTTTAGGAAGCTAAAGGACCGCTTGAAGCCTACACGACTCGTATCTGCCTACCTAATCTTTGCAAACAAGAGGAGCATTTTGGAGGTACGTACAATAAAGTTATTATTATAGTCTCTTTTGTTATTTGAATTCTTGAAGCTAAGTTGTGCGGATGAATTGTGAGTAGAGGTTGCGAAGATGAACGAAGAAGAGTGGAAGAACTTGCGTGCGGAAGAAAAGGCTCCTTTAGAAAGAGGTCTTGTCCCATATCAATTGTGTGAAGCAATGAAAAGTTCAAAAAACAGAATTTCCAACTTGTTTGCATATTATTGAACAAGGAGATATATATGCGGAAGGATATAAAAGGCTGAAGGCAGAAGAAGAGGATAAAGAAGCTCTCCAAGTTCTCAAGAAAGAGAACATTGTTGCTTGCTCTGCTGATAATTCTCAGGAAAGTGAGTATTTGAATCACATGTAGCATTTTTATTTATTATAGCTTTGCTCAAAGTCTGCTTAAAGCATAATTATTACAAATATATGTCTTCTATATTTCAGTGATTTTCAGTATACTACGATCAACGAGAAGATGGTGACAAGAACATTGTTACTTGCTCTACTGGTAAGTCTTACGGAAGTGAATATTTGAATCACCTTTAGCATTTTTATTTACTATGGCTTCTTTCAGCTTCTGTGTAAAGCATAATTATTACCAATATATGTCTTCTATATTTTGATAAAAGGAAAGCTAGTATATATATGTGAGGCATATCGTCATATCTATTCTATGATCTTGGTCAATCTTGTCTCTATTTATGGACTGATCACTAGTTATCTGTTGCTAAGATGTAACTATGTTAATACTTGCAGAATCCCTCGTTAATCAAAGTCAATAGCCAGGCTATATGAAGGTAAAGGACACCAAGGCTACATGATTATGATAATAACAGGGGTCATGAAAGATACCCATAAAATGATAAGAGTTAAAAGAACTACAACTTTCAGTAAAGACATCGGAAGTCGAAGCAATCTACTGTCTATCTCCAACCATATGTCATATCTATTCTATGATCTTGGTCAATCTTGTCTCTATTTATGGACTGATCACTAGTTATCTGTTGCTAAGATGTAACTATGTTAATACTTGCAGAATCCCTCGTTAATCAAAGTCAATAGCCAGGCTATATGAAGGTAAAGGACACCAAGGCTACATGATTATGATAATAACAGGGGTCATGAAAGATACCCATAAAATGATAAGAGTTAAAAGAACTACAACTTTCAGTAAAGACATCGGAAGTCGAAGCAATCTACTGTCTATCTCCAACCATATGTCATATCTATTCTATGATCTTGGTCAATCTTGTCTCTATTTATGGACTGATCACTAGTTATCTGTTGCTAAGATGTAACTATGTTAATACTTGCAGAATCCCTCGTTAATCAAGGTCAATAGCCAGGCTATATGAAGGTAAAGGACACCAAGGGGATTCAAGATTATGATAATAACAGGGGTCATGAAAGATACCCATAAAATGATAAGAGTTAAAAGAACTACAACTTTCAGTAAAGACATCGGAAGTCGAAGCAGTCTACTGTCTATCTCCAACCATATGGCCAAGGTTATAAATGAACTGGATCATGCTAACTTCGCACAATGTTTACCAAGGTATCAGCTCCTGCTAGATGATGTGAGCACCTCTTAAACCTTAATGACTTAATCTATATAGTGAACTTTCTCCTCTGTAGTACATAAATTAACTTGGTGTAGTGGTACTTAATGATCATTGGGTATTTGTGAGGTCGATGTGTAAGGATTACTCATTCAACAAAAGCGCAAAAACCAGTATGAAGAAAGCTTGTTTCATGTCAGGATGATAGTTACGACATATGTATTATATTAGATTTCTGTATTTCTTTCTATATCTCAGTTAGGAGTCCTAGGATAACATTGTCGAGTTCATGATTGTTTTCTATTCTGTTCAGTCTTCCCTTATGTGGATAATATGCTGGGATTTGTTTTGCTGCCAATACAACCAGAGGAGCATTTTGGAGGTACGTACAATAAAGTTATTATTATAGTCTCTTGTCTTACTGTTATATGAACTTTTGAAGCTAAGTTGTGCGGATGAATTGTGAGTACAGGTTGCGAAGATGAACGAAGAAGAGTGGAAGAACTTGTCTGCGGAACAAAAGGCTCCCTAAGAAAAGGTCTTGTCTCATATCAATTGTGTGAAGCATGAAAAGTTCAATAACAAAATTTCTAATTTGTTTGCATTTTATTTAACAAGGATATATATATATGAAAGGATATAGAAGGCTGAAGGTAGAAGAAGCCATGAGCGAGAAGAAAAGGATAATGAAGCTCTCAAAATTCTCAAGAAAAAGAAAACCGACAATGTCACTAAGGTAAGTATAATTTGGGAATCTGTTGTCTTTTCTGTTTTTGTATCATTTCACTCATTTTATAGTAATAACAAGCAAGAAAACTGACAGCATTCTCTTTTTTTAGGAAGCTAAAGGATCCCTTGAAGACTTAACAACCCATATCTGCCTACGTAATCTATGCTAACGAGAGAAGAGTGCTGCTTTACAAGAAGATAAACAATTTTTGTGGTAAGTAATGTAAAATGGAATTATTATAATCTCTCAAGGACAGCGAGCCATAACAATCCCAAAGCTCTGGTTGGAGTTATAGAGACGTCGAGACGAGGTGATGATTTCCACATCAATCTTCTTAACATGTGTCTTTTGTTTTTCACTCGAGAACTGTTTTAATAGTAATAAAATTGATAGCATTCTCGTTTTCTAGGGAGCTAAAGGAATCCATATTTTCTGAAACTTACATGGAACTTGGTTTAGATACGTTAACTGGCTATAGTCATTTTTGAATTTTTTCAATGTGTCTTTTTAATCAATCGCAATATTTAAGTTGTTGGTCTCTTCTTGCAGGAAACCTCGATTGTTTATTCTGTTAAATAACGCAGTGTAATAGTTGTTTGTGTTGCTTGGCTAAGACAGTGGCAGTGGCACCATTTCTGTTAAACTACAATGGAGCATGTTTTCGACAATATCTGACTATTTCTGGTAAATTCTAAACTACTATTCTTCTGAGACTAAATTATGCTATGAAGGTCTTGCGTTAGACTAGTATAATTTCAAAAATTTTGGTTTTGTCTTTTTCGTAGACTACACATGCTAGTGGATTATATAGCTAGAAGCAAGCTATTAAGGTAGGGTTATACGAGAGTCTGGAAGTTTTGTAAGCTTGAGAGAATGGGATCCATCCCTTGAGCCCTGAATATCGACAAAAGCTCTATCTTGCATTTTGTATTTCCATTGACAAAAAGAAAAGTAGACATCGATATCTGACTATTTGCTCTTCTGGTGTTTACTCAAACGGAATTTACCAACACATTAAGGACCGGCTTGACGCAGATTATGGGACCAAGGTGATGATGTTCACATTAATCTTTAATACATGTCTCTTTTCACTCGAAAACTGTTTATATAGTAATACAAGCAAGAAAACTGACAGAATTCTCATTTGTAGGAAGCTAAAGGATCCCTTGAAGACTTAACAACCCGTATCTGCCTACGCAATCTATGGTAACGAGAGACGAGTGCTGCTTTAAGAGATGATAAACAATTTTTGAGGTAAGTAATGTAAAATGCAATTATTATAGTCTCTTGTCTTACTGTTATTTGAACTCTTGAAGCTAAGTTGTGCGAATGAATTGTGAGTACAGTTTGCGAAGATGAACGAAGAACATGTCTGCAGAACAAAAGGCTCCCTAAGAAAAGGTATTGTCTCATATCAATTGTATGAATCAATGAAAAGTTCAAAAAAAAAATTTCTAGCTTGTTGCATATTATTAAACAAGTAGATATATATTATATATATATGGAAGGATATAATAGACTGAAGGTAGAAGAAGCCATGAGCGAGAAGAAGAGGATAAAGAAGCTCTCCAAATTCTCAAAAAGAGAAAACCGAGAATGTCACTAAGGTTAGTATCTTACGCTTGACATATTTGTGTCTTTTGCTGTTCTTACGAATGGATAATATAATGTTGAATGTGAGATTGTGATTATTACTTCAACAACAATAAATGAGGTCGTTTTTTCTCCACTTGAGCAAATGTCTTTGTAAATTTTGGCTCAACATTATATGCATGCAGACTTGGTAGCTGGACTAGAGAAGGGTAAAGCACTAGTCTCTACTCATTCTGCATTAGATTTGTTCGTCTCAATAAGATTCTTTTTACCCAACAAAACAAAGTTTTTTTTTTAATCTAGAATTATTTGTTCTCGGTGGACGACTCTTAATGCATAAGAGAAAAAGCCTTAAGGGGAGAAGTACAAGGCAGAGAAGGAAGCTTATCTCAAGGTTATTACAAAGGAGAAGTGCGAGAAAATGAGCAAATGCAGGAAACTACGATGGAGCTGCACTTAAATTGTTCCAAGTAAGCACATCATTTCATTCTCTCCAGTTACAACCTGTGAAATAATTATCGGTTCAGAGATAGACAATGTGGGTTTACTAACATAATTTCCTTTGATTCAGATATGTCTTGGAGTCCTATTTTCAACCAAAACAGAAAAGCAAACTCTTAAAAACTCCTCCACGCTAGTACTTATCACTCCCTCTCATGAAAAGCCTTTCTCTTGGCAGGTGGCATACGGAGAGAGATTCGCAACCGTTAAGAGACTTGAAGCTAACTAGAAGTCGAAGTTGTGGAGCAGACTTTGTCAAATCAGCTGAGAGAAGTCTGGCAACACATCAAGAATGAAAAGTTGTTGCAGGGAGAAGGATGCCAACAACTTGGTTCAAATGGCGGATGCTACTCTAGAAAAGTGTAGAGCATCAATAAGTCAGAACAGAACAGAGAAGACTGCTGCTTAAAAAGACAAGCAAATCATTTATCGCTGGGTTAGTTTTGATTTACTTGGTTCAACCAGAATATGCTTTTGTAAATCACCTAAGTCCTTGTCATATAACTATCATGTAGGAAATGGAATAGAAGCTCTTGGCCTTAGTTTCAACACCCAATACAAGACTACTTAGACACGCCCTTGAATTTGCCGGTGGAGTTCATGAGGCTACCGAGAGAGATAATAGAGGTACTGAAGCTACTTCTTCTTATATTCAGAGGAGATCATAAAGATTGCTTTTACTTAGAGATAGAAGTTCATCGAATCTTTTGCCAAAAACTGCAACAATGGACACAGTTTGGCCTTAATCTCCAGGTAAATTTACATTGTAGACATAAGTTCACTATGATTTATGCTCTGAAAGTCTTGATTTAGACTAAGTATAATTTCAAAATTTTGGGTTTGCCGTTTTTCGCAGTAGGGTCACTTATACGAGAGTCTGGAAATCTTATAAGGTTGAGATCACATTTCTAAGAACATGGTATCCATCCCTTGAGGGAAAGTATATTCCCTTGAAGATTGACAAAAGATCTATCTTGCGTTATGTATTTCCGGAGAGCAAAGACATTGACTATTTCTCTTTCTTTAAAAGGCTTATAATGCTCATTTACTCTTTTAGAGTTTACTCATATGGAACTTACGAACATCTTAAGGACTGGCCTGACTCAATTGATGGGAATGGCTTCCAAATCATGGTAAAATCTTTCAGGCACAGCTTCTATAACAATGCCGGAGCTTTGGTTGGAGTTTACAGAGACGAGGTGATGATTTCCACATCAATCTTTTTAACCTGTTTCTTTTTTCACTCGAGAACTGTATTAATAGTAATAAGAAGTAATAAAGCTAGGAGAGTTCTCGTTTTCTAGGAAGCTAAAAGACCGCTTGAAGCCTACACAATTCATATCTGCCTACCTAATCTATGCAAACAAGAGGAGCATTTTGGAGGTAAAGTAGAGTAAAGTTATTATTATAGTCTCTTTTATGTTATTTGAACTCTTGAAGCTAAGTTGTGCAGATGAATTGTGAGTACATGTTGCGAAGATGAACGGAGAAGAGAGGAAGAACTTTCATGCCGTACGAAAGGCTCCCTAAGAAAAGGTCATGTCCCATATCAATCGTGTAAAGCAATGAAAAGTTCATAAAACAAAATTTCTAACTTGTTTGCATATTATTGAACAAGGAGATATATATGGAAGGATATAAAAAGCTGAATGAAGAAGAAGCCATGAGCGTGAAGAAGATGATAAAGAAGCTCTCGAAGCTCTCATGGAAGAGAAAATCAACAATGTCATTAAGGTTAGTAACTTACCTCACATGCCTTTAGCCAGTAGTAGGAAATCATTCTGGGCCAAGTCAATCACTAACAACAACACATGTTTCTTGCACAAGAAGAAAGAGACGAGAAAGACAAATGTAGCTCCATATTAGATTCAATGACCAATCTCAAATCTCTGCAACAATCTAGAAGATGATGGTACTCTTTTCCGTTGAAGATCGATGGCAAGGAAAAGACAGAGGAGGAGGAACTCGAAACGCTTAAAAAACTACAAGTCGTGAAGGAACTGAAACCTAACATCTTCGTAAGTTACTTACATCTTCCTAATCTAGATCTGAACCATAGGGTCTTTGTGATTCTTTTGTGTTAAATTTGGGGAGATAGTTTTACTCTTTATATCGAAAAAATTTCTTTGGTAGGTTTCTCATGGGTCACAATTTAAGGTTTGTTTGACTTGAACTGATTATCTCACTCATATCCATTCTCAGCTTGATTGAATTTGCTGATGAATAACTAATTTAGAGGCAAATATGTATGTAACGAGTATAATTTGCTTAGTTTGGTTTATTTACAAATACAGTTTCAGAGGCAATTTAGATGATTGGTTTTGTTTACGCTTCTTATTATAAGTTTGTGTTATTCAGCTACCAAATAAGTCTTGCAAGGGAGCGATCCCAATCCAGATGTAATAAGGTTCTGTATTTTTACTTGATTTACTCTTTGAAATTGGCTCATCCTTTTTTTTTTTGAGAAAAGTTAACATGCATTTTTGGGATGCATATTGCAGATACTTTGCTGGAAATTTCACTTCACTGATCTGGATTCTTTCGATCTCATTAGCTGCTGTCAACCCTGGTGATGGTAAGAACCTTTTTTCCTAGAAGATCTCAAGAAAAGCTACAATTTTTGCTTCTAGATTACATTTTGTCCACTGAATTTAGAGTGAGATCTGTGCATATTGGTTGAGGATTTTTAGATTTTCTTCAGAGATAACAACAACTCTTGAGTTATCTCATCTATCATTGAATCTTTCTGTTAAATTCTATTTTGAACGGTCACGAA